CTCTCACTCTCTGCCCCTGTCCCCTTACACTGGGTCTCTCATGGCACAGAGCTTGGTTGGGCTAAGACACCAGCCCAGCAAACTCCCTGGATCCATCTGTTCCTGTTTAAGAAGCTTTTACATTTCATTCAATCTCATTTTCAACTCTTACTTTTGGATTCCTATTTGAAAGTCCAAACCTATGCTTGTATCTTGAAACATTTTTTCCTATATTTTCCTCTAGCAGGTTCAAATTTTGAGTATTATAAGGTGTTTGTTCTGGTTTGAATTGATTTTTGTGCCAAGTGAAAGAGATGGCTGTAATGTCGATGATAGCCTTTTGTTTTTCAACACCTTTTGTTGAAGAGACTACCATGATCCTTCAATGTTCACGCTTGATGCCTTTGTTAAAATGTAGCCGGATGTAGATATATGGGATTGTTTATGGGTTGCTATTCTCTACCATTGATCTACATGACTTGTGGGGTACACTCTTTTCCTTACTGTGGCTCTACATTGTAAGCTGAGGTTGACACCTTCAGTTTTGCTTCATATGTTCATATGTTTGCTTCATATGTGTCTAACTGTGGTTAATGTTTTCATGTGAATTTTGGAATTTTTCCTAATATTTTGAAAAATATGTTGGGAGTTTTGATGGAGATTGTATTGAATCTTTGTAAGATAGCCATTTCCACATTTTATGTTTAAAGAATATCGCTTACATGTTAGTACCGTGCCCAAATTCTGAAACCCCAAATCACCAAAGAAACCCATTTTGATGCAAAAGCAAAGGTCTTTTATTGCTGTTGTTTAAGGAGCTAACCCCATTAGCCTTTCATCCTTTCACCACATCCTTTCTCTCGAAAATGGCTAGAGAAAGACCCCGAGAATCCATGAGGCGGGAATCTTATAGGGCAGCGTAAGGGGAGTGTCTAGGGGTATGCACAGGCTAGGATGACCTGTCCTGTGTTGATTGGTCAACTGGTTGTTATAGCCCATAGGCCCTCCCAGGGCGGTTGCTATGCTCTGCACATCCTCTGTCATACCGTAAAGCACACCCAGAGCTGTAAAGTACACCCAAAGCCATAAAGCACACCCAGAGACGTAAAACACACCTAGAGCTGTAAAGCATAGCCTAGCCAGCTAACTTCTGATAGGTTCCTTGCCGCAAGGAGGGCATCTGACTTCCTAGTGACCAGGGCAGGCCCAGCAAGGTCAGGGAGCACATGTTGAGTCTTTAGCCTGTCATGGCTGCTAAAGCAGGGGGCTGGTCCCTTCAGCAGCAATCTAGTAAATTTTTGGATTGTGTGGGATTCATCTAACAAATACGGAGGGAAATTTATAATGTTTATATGCATAGTTATTTAAAGGGCATGTTTTATGGACTCTGATGACAGCAATTTTCATAAATAATTCATATCTTTCTAAAATTAAGGTGTAGTCTTGAGCTATTTGGTACATTTTAATCAAGGTTATGCTATCTAAGTCTTTATTGCCTTATTGACTTTTTGTTTGTCTAGTCTTTCAATTTATGAGAGAGTATATACAATCCTCCCAATATCCTGGTGAGTTTGTCATTTTCTAATTCTGTAGCAGTAAAATGTCAATGCACAGCTATATCATTATGTTTCTTGTAATCTTTAAGTAATTGACTAATTAAAAATTGCATCATTATACAGAGACCTTATTTGTCTATGTTCATAGGTTTTGTTTCCAAGTAGCCTGTATTCTACTTTTTATGATATTTGGAGTTAATATTTGTATATGTGGTATATATATATATATATATATATATATATATATATATATATTCACATGTATGTATATTTATACCTATGTGTATTCATTTAACCTTTGCAACACTGGATAGAATACATGGTTAGAATTTTAATTTCCCCTCTTTCTCTTGTTCAATTTGTATCTCATCAAAATTTGTTTTAATTTTTCTCAATTTTTGCTTCATTTTCAGTTATATATTTGTAATTAAATTTGAAGTTCATTAGCTATTTTTTCCTCATAGTTACTGTGGATTATTTTGACATTCGTGCTTAACACAGCTTAAAGCTTCTCATTATCTTGTTCTCATCTCAAATGATGTAAAAGGGTGCGTTTTCTTTACATTGTGGTGATTGCCCCTCCCACTTTGCACACTATTTTTTTATGAACCTGTTTTGCTGTGTGGCCTGTTTTGCACATTTATATATGTTTGTGTGTGCCACACGTCTGCCAGGTTCTTTACTCAGAGCCCAATCTTGCGTTTCAGCCCTTCCATGTGTTCTAATTTTCTTTCCCCCTGAAGCATCTCCTTTAGGATTTCACTTAGGAAGAGCTCGTGTGTAATGAACACTTGAGGATTTGCTTTTCTCAAAGCATCCTTCCCTTGCCTCTGTTCCAGAAGCAGAGTTTTCCTTGTGTTGACAGTTTCTAGGGCAACACTTTTCTTTCCCCATGTACTGGACACTGTCTTCTGACATCTGTGGCTCTACAGAGTTGTCACTCATCAATATGATTGTCTGTTTGCCAGTAATAGTCACTTTCCCCTCTGTTCCCAGTAAATATTTCTTCTGTTCTTTCAGAAACACACTTTCACTCTAAGTATGGCTAGCTATAGATTTTTTAAGAATTCATTTAGCTCTGAAGTCATTGGGCATTTTGGATCAAAAGCCAGTGTCTTTAATACATTGTTGGATATATTGATTATTATAAGCCTTTCAATTCTTTCTTCTTCCCAGTTCCACCATCCCCTCTGATACGCCATGTTTATGAATTCCAGTTTTATCTGTGTATTTTTATCCTGTCAACTCCCATCTTTGTTTTAGTATTTTTATCTCCAAGTTTCAGGTCTGAGTTCTAGTTCATTGATCCTCTCCAGTTATGTTGTTTACTGTTCTTTTATCCTACTCTATTTTCACATCTTAAAAATTCAAGTGTCTCTGAATTATTCTTTTAAAATCTGATTTGCCTTGAAAAGTCAGACTTTGTCACAGTCCCAGGCCTTTCTCACTCTAGAACATTCTGGGGTTTCTTGTTTGTGGTGTCTTGCTGTTTGTCTGTGTATTTTAACTAAGTTTTAGCCTCTGTTTTTTCCTCAGCATTATCTCAAGAACTTTTTGTCTTACAACTTAGTGCTATATTGCTCTAGAGAGATGCTTTCCAGGAACATGGAATTTGTATTTAATTATTTTCTATACCTGAGATTTTGTACTGGAAGTAGGACTTCCCACTACAAGTATGAATGGGGATCACAAAGGCCTTACTGTTCATAATGATTAATTTGTGGTTTCTAGTTCTCCTTCATACCTCATGGTAAGTTCCCTGGCTCTTCTGAGGTCAAAGATTGTTTCTACTTAACTCTTCTACTTTGGAGTATGAGCTTTATGTAAGGCTCTAGGAAGTTTCTCTCTGTGAGCAGACTATGCCCCTTGTCTCTCAAAATGATCCAAGTAGAGTCAATGCCGCAAAATTTTATCAATACCTTTGGGACACCTGTGACTTTGGTATTGGCTTACTTCCTCTGGGTTTTAACTCTCATGTCTCTGGGACTTTACTTCAGTTTGAATTCCTTACTTCCTTACCAATTTGAAATATATATGCTTTTAGATTTAAGCATATTCTCTACTTATACACAATGTTAAAAGAAAATTATTGAGAAAATTGAGACTTTCAGAAAACAGGCATCTCCTCTGAGACATTGTTGTTTTTATAATGCCAGTCAGAATAGAGACAGGAAGGAAAATCATTGTGTCATTTTTGTTTCAGAAGTATAATCCAATTCAGCATTATAATTAGAAATGGATTTTTTTAACTTCTAAAAGTAAACTAAAGACAGAAATGCTCACATGTGAAAGGACTGGTACATATGAGATGGACTGTTTACTGTCAGAAACTGGTCTATAGTTCCAGGTGCCAATGGAATGAGCCAGGTAAATGTTGAAGCTTCAAGCAAGCTCCTTTAGTCTCAATGGCAGGGATGGAAATAGATAAAAAAGAGTTAAAACTAAGGCACTCAGGGTGTTTTTTATGGCTAGTGGGCTTTTCCTCCCCATTGTATCTGGTGATTGTCTATCAAAACTTCCCGGTATCTAACACCAGTACCCTGTAGTCTACTCATATCTAAGAGTGAAGGATTAATAAAGGCTTTATTGTGAAAGATCATCCATAAATGCTGTAGTTTTTTTCTGTAAAGAACAGAAGAAGATACTGTGTCCAATAGTCTTAAGTTTTAATGAGGGGGAAAAAAGAAAGAAAGTTTTAATGGTGAACAAAGCAATTCCTGTGGAGGAAGAAATACTTATTTCATTTTCCTTGTCTTCTCTTCCAACTGCCTTGGCAAACCTGTTATACTTAGAGGTCATTCAGCCTCAATCTGTAGCATCTCATAGGTACCTGCTGTCAGTCTAGGCATGTTGCAAACTTCCCCCAATCAAATTACCACTATTAAAATTGGGCCATTCTATATTTCTTAAATGTTACTCAAGACTTTTCCAGATAGTGTGGCAAAATTTCCCAAACCACAATTAATTTCAGTTCACCTTGGTGAGTTTGTCATATATTCTTTAAGCATTTTTGTAGATGAAAGTGTGCCGGAACCAATGCTCTGCAGTTCATGAAATTGTCACTTAAAAATTAAGGATGCAGGAAGTCACAGAAGGTGAAAAGGGAGCTGCCACTCTGCCGCTCAATGCTCATATATTTAAAACTCCATGCAGAGCAGAGCTCGGTTCACTTGAGTCCAGCGTAAATGCGTAAGTGAGATGCTCTGTTGGTTCTGACCACTGTGGTTTGAACATGTGTGTCCCTTCAAGACTCCTGATGAAGCTTCATCTTCAAAAATGGAATTCAAGGGTGCCACCTTTAGGAGATCATTTGGTCATCAAACCTGTGTCCTTTGCACGAGATCAGTGCCTGATAAATGATATGGAATTCAGCCATTCGGTGTTCCCTCTACGCCTCTCATCTTTCACCAAGCAAGCACGGATCTCACCACACTCTCAATGCTGCTACGGCTTCTCAACCTGCAGACCGTAAGAAGTGAGTGTGTGTTCCTTATGAATTACCTAGTCTAACTGACTTGGTTGCAGTTTCAGGAACTGACTAATTTGTGACCTCAAGCTTGGCTTTCCTACTTTAAAAGAAGATTGATTTATAAGAAAGTGGTTTGCTGAGGCCTGGAGTAAAAGTATAATTTAAGTTCTGAATATCAAAGTCTAGTTTGCTGTCTACAGTTCAGAGTGTTGATATTCCTTTGCAAGGCAGTTGCAAGCACAGACCTTAGAATAAAAGGAATTTAGGGCCCCCATCTAAGGCTAAAATCTATGCTTTGATGAAGGAAGGCGGTGACTGGTTTGGCTGTTCACTGTTTGTCTGATGAACTCAGAGAACAGTGTATAGTATCACCTGGATTCTGGCCCGGAGCAGCTTCCTTCCATAAGGCAATAAAGTCACTATTTCTAGTGGCGGTGCTGCTTCTTCTTGTCCTCAGTGCTGATGGTGGCACTTTGACAGTGCAGGCTGCACACTATGCTAAGGGTTAAGGAACAGACTTCCTCTGCCCATCTGGGCCATCATCTGAATGCATCAGGCGAGACATCAGTAGAAAAAGAGGAGCTGAGAGCAGACGCCTGTGATGCCCATGTTTACAGTGAAATCCGCCAGGTATTTGCTTGTGTCTCTCCCCTCACCAGGCTCTGAGCCATTCTTACAAGCAGAACCTCTCCTAACTCCTTTTCTACCCTTTCATCTTGCTTCCCTGTCTCTCTTCTAACCCTGCAAGCAGACAGCTTGCAGTGTGCCTCTTCCCTGCAGTGAGTCAAAATATGGAGGAGCAGATTCCCACCCCACCCCATGAATCAGCCAGCATGGGTGTGCTCATCAGCAGGGACTAGCGTTCCTCAGACTTCCACACAGGAAGACAGGAATATAAAGAGGAGGCATATGTACCAACGCGACAGGGGAAGGCAGAAATGAAGAACCGCTGCAGAAAGCACAACAAATCTCAGCTTGGGTCGGGAACAAACAGCACACAGTTCTGTTTGCTTAAGAATACGGTTCTTAGTCACAAAAGGTTGGTTTAGGAATGGGTGTTTTTGTTGTGTGTCTGTGGAATGAATACAGCATGCTCCAAAGGCACGAGAGAGTTGTGACTCTAGAAATAGTTTAAAGTGGATGAATAATTAGATGCCTATTTTCTAGTCACTTCAACAAACACGAGGACCTGGGGCATGGCTATTCTCTGACTTAGCGGCAGGTGCTGTGTATAAAGGTGTTGCTTCTAAGACTTTGCATTGTTTTAGCTGTTGCTTCTTGATGTCCACTGATGTTTTGTATGCCCTGAGTACACATGTACTGGAAGTGGGTGGTACGGAGAAGGTGTGTGAGTCTGATCCTCATTATCATGGTTTTTAAGAGTTTGAATCTGCTTTGGTTTAAGAGCAAAATGTTCCCAACAGGTTCATGTGCTGGAACTCTTTGCCTCCAGCTGATGACACTGTTTTGGAAGGCTCTGGAGGCTTTAGGAGATGGAACTGATGGAGGGATTGGGTCACTGGGTGCAGGCTCTGAGGATATATTGCTCAGTACTGTTTCCTGCCCATCTATGCTATTCTGCTGCGATGTGAAGATGCCACTGCCACAAAGTTGCACCTTATCATGTCTTCCCATTACCATGGACTGCATCCCTCAAACCATGTGGCAAAACAAACCTTTCCTCTCTCTCTCTCTCTCTCTCTCTCTCTCTCTCTCTCTCATTCACTTCTTGATGATATTTTATCATAGTGATGAAAACGGTGCATAGTACAGGGCTTTTGAGAGGTGATTGAGTAAAGGAGACAGGGTCCTCCTGGAAGTGATTACTGCCCTTAGAAGCAGAGGCTCTAGAGAACCTGACCCATTGCACTGGTCTGTGATTTTGGTGTTCAAGACCCTAGAAATATGTTGGTGAGGTTTGTTGTTGTTGTTGTTGTTGTTGTTGTTGTTGACTTGATACAAGCTAGTGTGATGTGTGAAGAGAACCCCAATCCAGAAAATGATCCCATCAGATTAACCTGTGGTCAAGTCCTTGAAACATTTTTGGTTTTGATTAATGGTTGACATGGAAGGGTTCAGCCACTGAGTGTTGTATCAACCCTGGGCAGTGGTCCTGAGACAGATAAGGAGGCAAATTTATCAAGCCATCTAGTGAGCCAGTAAGAATTAATCTTCTCTAGTCTCTGCTTTGATTATTGCCTCCTGGTCCCTGCCTTGAGTTCCTGCTTCAGCATCCCCTAATAAAAAACTAAAAATTTTAAGCCAAATAAGCCCTTTCCACCCAAGTTGCCTTAGGTCATGATCTCTATCACAAAAATAGAAACAAAACTAAGACCACAACTGTAAGAAGTGAGTTTTTCTTCTTTTACAAAGCTCTATTCTATGCTAATTTCCTGCAGTTGTTCATCCTGCTGCCTTCAGTAGGTCTTATTTGTGGTGAGAGGTGAAGGGCAGATTGCTTTGCATTCTTCATTTGAACCTCAGTGCATTTGAACCTCACTGACGATATACAAAGGAAAGAACCATGGAGAAAGGCTACCAGTGAGAAGAAAAGAGAGAATCACTTGTTTTATGTCACCAATGCTAAGTAAGGACTTGTAAACTAGAGATTTGAGCTCCTTTGAAGTTTAAATTGCTGCCCAACAAATGATCCTTGTCTCATCATATCGAAAGGTAATATTGCTGGAAATGTCAGGTCAGAGCCTGGGTTCTCGTAGCTCTATTAGGTTAGGCTTGCCATCTATCCTTAACAGGCCAATTAAAGAAATAATTGATTTTTGTAAAGCAGAGAAAGGAGATTTATTTAATGTAGCCATATTTGAAAAGATAAAAAGACACACCCAAGTCTATCTTTAGGGCACAGAAAGGAGGTTTAGTACTGAATTGAATGTAAGCATCAAAACTGAGCAGCTCTGGGCAGGGTGTGGTCCTGCCCATCACTAACTTACCCATGATCTTCATTATCTCAGCTCCTACTTCCCAGCCTGACCCGTACTGTGTGCAGCCTCTTCCATCAAACAAGCCACACTCCACATCCAACATGTCTTCCTTCCCTAGTGGAAGACTCTTCGGGAAAAGTGGATTTCCCTGGGTGCCTAGATGCTCTGACAGTCAAAGGGAAGCCTACTGTGTCTCCTTGGATGGCATTGAACCTTTCTGGACACTTAGAGTCATGGAGACACAGGAAACGTAAGTCTCACTCATCTACTCTCTCCTGGAGTACTTATTAATCTCCGTAGGCCTTCATTTAGTGAATGTCTTTAAAACTTTCCTTTTACCAAAACGTTTAGACGTTGCATTGGTTTTACTCTACAGTGGTGTGATATGAGCTCTGTTTTCTATGAAAATACCAAGTCCCTAAAACCCAAGCTCCTTCAGCCCTGTAGCTAACAAACAGCTCACAAATATCTATGAGACATGCCTTCTACATCTTTAAAGGCAGTGGTTTGTCATGTTCTGAAATGGCGTTTCTTCTCAAAGGCTTCTCAGCAGCTGTGTCCCTTGTCTGTAGCAAGTTCTTGTAGGAAATTTCATTGCCTTTCAAAGATTATCCCATATCTGTAAAATCATGGATCATATAATTTAACCTTAGTTCTGATTCCTATTTAGTTTCAGGCTCATATAGCTCAGAACCCACAGATTATTTGGGAGCTCATTTTCCCTCCTCTGACCACACAGGATGTCCTTCTGATGCAGCCTAGCCAGTGTTTCTTGGAACACCTTTCTCTTGGCCCTAGCAACAATGCCATGCTATGGACCTGTATAGCTTCTCCCTCAAGGATATTCTGTCACTGGTTTGCACATAGAAAACCAATGCTTTTATTATGTTCCCAATTTAAGGTAATTAAAAAGGAATGATGAATGTGATTCCCTTGGGGCTAAAATAGTCCAGTGCTTACTTTATGAAAACAGATCATTATTTATTCTTACTTGCTTAGACATTGTGTACCTTTCCAGTTTAAGGAACTATTGTCTCAGAATGGCCCTTGAAATTTGCAGGATAGACTGCTTGGAAGTCCTTTTGGTCCTTGCTAATTCATGCTCTCCTACATCATTTGGACCCCTACCCTGCCTGGGACCACTCCATATTCCACGAATCTTTCAATTAGTATCCATGTCTTTGCTAGGACTCAGTTCTGACACGGTCTTCTCCATCACCCTTTCCATAGGTACCACCAGGGGTGCGTACCTATCTGCTGCGTTCTCTATAGCACTCTGATCATGGAGACTTTCAGTAGCATCTTACACAAATGGACCCATGGCTAGCATCTACATTTCTCATGGGGGAACCTCTGTCACCCCATCTTCTCCATGATACTAATCTGAGTACAAAATGGAGATGTGGCAACAAACGGACCTTTCTTGCCCTGAACTAACTGCTAGGCCCATTGCTTTATGTCAGAAATATAATACGATACAGGATTGGTCCTGCTCTAGGGTTGAATAGAGGAGACCTGTAAACCAGGTCAATCTTACCTCCAGATGAATACAACTTGAGTCTGCTCACACAAAGTGGGATCTAGCGACTCAGCCTGGCAGAGAAGAACAGAGGAGGGAGGTCCAGGAAATAGCTTCATCCACAGCCCTGTGTTCCGCTCAGCTCTGTCTGCATCTCTGCTCCTTTAATTAAGGAAAAACAATCCCTTAAAACCTTGACTGCATGAGCACAGACTACTTCCCCGATGATTTGATGAAATCTAAAGCTTTCCCTGGGCACCGTTTCTTTCATCTGGCTCCCGAAAATGTTTAAGCCAAGAAGAAAGTACACTTGTCCTTGCCAGGGACTTGCAAAATGTGCTCCTGACTGGTAAAACACAAAATGCTTCTAAGAGTGAGGAAATCATACAACACAGGCTGCCGTGTGATAATAGCAAATGGGCTCCGATTTGGTTTGAGATGGGAGGGAAGGTACTTACTGCATAGTAAGTACGCGGTTGATAAGAGACCCTGATGGCACCGTTGCCAAGCCTCACTCTCACACATGCCCACCACACCAACTGACTTTGGATGGAGTTGCCTGTACAGAGTGAGGGAAGAATTTGGCTGCGAGGGTGCAATTTGGCACAGTTCAGCTCTCACTACCCAAAAAGCAAGCAGTATGCCATTGGGGTTGGGGTTTGGGCATGTCAACTGGGTCCCTCATCCTCTCTCTCTTGCCTCCTCCTCTGGCCCACAGCACCACATGGATCATTTTATTTACTTTTGGGCTTCACAGTGCCAGAGACACAGCGCTGGCAGCTCCGGAGGGAAGCAGCATACTTTTCCAAGAGTCTCTAATGCTAGAAACGCAGAATGGAGTTGACATAAATCTAATGAAATGAAACTGCTCTCCTCCCCTCCCTGCAATCCCAGAAAGCAGTGGCATTTGGAAAATTGTGTTCTAAATGGGCTTGTGAGGGCAGGAGTTCAGGAGACGCCGGCTATGAGCTCATATGTATTTGAAGATGTCTGCTCTAGTCTTTTACCTTCTGCTGTTTGAAGATAAAGATATTCTGCTTTAGGGAATTAAATTTAAATATCACGTACTGACACCTGAGGGATTTAAAAGGGGGGGGGGAGTGGATTTTACAACTCTATTCGTTATGGACAAATAAACTAAAAATTAAAGAAAATGCCTTTCTTGGTTGCCCCCTACAAATTAAAAGAAAAATCTCCAGGAGGTTATAATATTTGTTGACTAAGAAATTTGCTAGTATCTGGTGAATTCAAAGGTTATTATTATAGTTATTGCAGCCACACATAACCCTGTGCTAATTTGAACATTTTCCACTGGATGGAGGCCCAGATGGGACTGCTCATATTCCAGATAGGAAAAATATTTACCTTATCACATTGATAGGAATAACAGTACTGGTAGCAAACACAGACAAGTGGCCAGTATATGGAGCATCTGTGGAGCTCTTGTTATCTTGTGCTCCACACTGTGTGGATGCTGATGTCTTTCTTTCTGCCAAAATAAAACAGTTGATGGAAAGACAGCGTGTGAGTGGCAAACAGAGATTAATATGGAGACATGGGGAAGTTATTTTATCTGCTGTATCTTCAGTTTCCTCTTTTGGAGACAGAGGGATAGTGATTTCAAAGGTATGCTCTACGAAGTCATTGCGAGAGTGTCATGCCTGGCCACAGGGAGTAATGCAAATCTCTGATAATATCAGGATGAAGACAAGGGGTGAGCAAGGCTGGTGATGGATAGTGATTAAGATCAAAACCTCAGAACTCACATGGTCATGAGTTTATCAAAAGTATAGTCTCCAGGTACCAGACATTGGCAATATGTTGCATAGTCATGGTGAATAAAAAGAGAAGGCCCCTGCTTTATGGACAGGATAGGAATAAACATGGGAAAAAACAATAATGCATTCTCCTTCCCTCCCCTACCCAGTGGCAGGGCCTTGTGGCAGAGTCCCTAGGTTTGTTTAAAGCCTGATTTGAAATCCTGTTTTTTTCTGTGTCTGCGTGGTGTTTCCATGGTGCCCAAGAAGAATAACTTGTAATGTGTTAACACTGAGACCTTCTCCTGTTTGAGAGGCTAACTTAGGGTTGTTGGAGGAGAGTCAGTCACTTAGTGTTGTTGGAGGAGAGTCAGTCACTTAGTGTTGTTGGAGGAGAGTCAGTTGCAGCACTGTTGGCCCCGGGGTGACAGCTTTATCTCATATTCATATATCTACATATATACATACATGAATGTACATATATATATGTATATGTGTGTATATATATACATATATATATATATATATATATGAGATAGAGAGAGAGGGTGTGTGTCTAGATATATGCAGTCAGTAGAGAGACTCTTGGAGCCTGTGTTAACTTTGTTTTCTCAGTGCTGATAGCATCACTAATACTTAGGGCTTTCAGTTTCTACCTAGAAAAGTCATAGTGAAACAGGTGAGTTATTCACCCAACTTACCGGTACCCACTTCTCTTAGTCACCCAGATATGCATATCTATCTAACTATCATCTATCTATCTATCTATCTATCTATCTATCTATCTATCTATCATCTATCTATCATCTATCTATCATCTGTCTATTTATCTATCTATCTATCTAATATATTTCAATTGGATATATATCAGATATACACAACTCCAACCTATTAAAATTTTCATAGAGAATAAGATCCTATGAATTTGAACTATGCTAAGGATTCATCCTGTTTTCTTGGATGGAAATACCTCTGTGATGGAGCAACATTAAATTGAGGATTCAACTTAAGGACACAAAGGTTATCTGTTTCTTGTTTAGTCTTAAGCAAGGTGTGCAACTCTGTCTACTGAAGTTTTTCTTACTATTTTGAGAATTAAAAAAAAATATGTTGCAGAAATAAGTTTGAGGAGTTCCTGGCAATTTATTTAGAACTTATCCCATTTGAGTAATACACATTTAAGATTATAAAGGTGTGAACCTAAATGTTACTGGGTTGAGATGGCTTTTTTTTTTTTTTTTTGGCCATCATGTTTCCTAGCTCCTAGAGAAGGAATCATATGTTTAAGTTAGGCAAGGAGGTCAGCCACATTGTGAGTATCAGCCACATGGAAGGGAGCAGAGTTTTGAGAAAGAGTGGGAAAGCCAACACACTTAGCCTCTGGTCTGCATCTAAAAGGAAGACAGAGGGAAAACATAAGACACAGTTATGCCAAAAAATGCACATGTAAAAATAAATTATTGAGGCTTAAAATGAACCAATACACAGCCTGTACTGGAGAACTTCCCTGTGCTTAACTTATCTTTCCACATCCTGATGCTTCAAAAACATGTGTTTTGTGCAAGGTGTTCTGGTGCAACATGGATTTGTATTCTTTAAAAAAATTCTTCCAATCTCTATGTATCATTGAAACATGTATCTTTAACACAATTAGTAGTGAAGTAAGGTTCACATATGTCATTTTGTTATTTGTTTCTTATATATTTTGGCCCATTGACGTCTTCCCTATTACAGGCTTTAAAGGAAATAAATAAGTATTTTCCATTGTGCAATTGTAATGTCCTTGTTCTGCGGTGTTTTGAATTATCTTCTTAGTAGTTGCTGGGAGGTTTACAATGATTTTAATGTAGGACAATCTAGCTAGGAATCATAACAATAAAATCTCTGAACTACACAAATACTTCTATGTATCTGGCTTTCATTCTGCTCCCTCTAGGTTGTTGCTGCCATAGAGATGAGTCTTCACTTACTATGTCCACCAGTAAAGCTTACAGCACCTCTGTAAGGCCTTGTGTTTTAGGGAAGAGAAAAAAATACACATCATACTATCTTTTATATCTACCAATGTTGTTGCCTTATCAATGCTCCTAATTTCTTGAGGAATATTTTTAAGTACAGCCTAGTGTCTTTTCATTCCATCTTGGAGAGTTTCTTTTGCTATTTCTCATCGGACAGAAAACACAAATTTTCTCCTTCTATTTCGAAATATTGAAACTCCACTTCATGGTGGAATGATTTGCTCATGCTGCGTAGGGTTCTTGTTTGACAGCCCTTTCTGACACTCAGCTTTGTCACACTGCCCACTGGCCCCTCAGTTTCTGGTGGCTGCATCAGCTGTTAATGTAATGCATGTCCTCGGATGTAAATTGGTATCTCTTGCTACTTTTGACTTTCTTTGTCTTTAAATTTTTAAATGTTTGCTTATTCTTCTTGTCTAGGTGTGGATCTTCTTGTATTTAATTTGCAAAAAGTTTGTTGAGCTTAAGGCCATAGGAATTGAAGTATTTCATCAAATTTTAGGAGTTTTGGTCATTCTGTCTTCAAATATTCTTCCTGTTTGTTTTCTCCTGCTCCCTCTTTCTCTTGGGACTCCTGTTATCCAGATGTTGACTAACTTGATGGTATGGACAAGCCATCAAGGTTTGTTGTTTTTCCTTTGTCTCCTTTTATGTGAATCCTCCAGCTAAAAACTTTGATTGATAAATCTCAATGCTTACCAGTTTTACTTCTAACTGCTCAAGCCATTTGTTGTGTCACGTGGCAATTTTTAATTTAATTATCATACTTTTCATCTCCAGAATTTCTCTGGTCAACCATAGAGCTGATGAAGTAAAAGAAAAACATTGTAGAAGAAGACAAACACCATGAATATTATTAAAATGAGATGTGGGCTTTAAAATGCTCTTTAAATTTCAGAAGTATTGCTATTTTCTACTAATAAGATGTTGATTCTGGTGATTTGGTTTTGCTGGTGTTCCTCCTGTCTTACGGAGCAGAGTCTCCCTGAATATAGATACCCAGTAATTTTTTTTTTTTTTTTTTGGTTTTTCGAGACTGGGTTTCTCTGTGGCTTTGGAGGCTGCCCTGGAACTAGCTCTTGTAGACCAGGCTGGTCTTGAACTCAGAGAGATCTGCCTGCCTCTGCCTCCAAAATGCTGGGATTAAAGGCATGCACCACCAACGCCCGGCTGTAAATAATTTTTTAATGCTATTCCTGATTATTGAAATCCTCAGTCAATGGTGTTTATGTATTGTTATTAATTATGGATGACAACCTAATTAGAGTTAGGCTATTGTTATATTATTATGAATGATAATGAAGCAAAAAAGAAACAAAATAGCTTTCTTCTCCCTTCTTTGTTTTCAACACTTTCCCATGTTAGATGCCAGTGAGATCTAGAATCC